ACAGCTTTGAGACCTTTCATCAGAACTGTGGACTGTAGCCTTTGCCCCAGGATGCATCCCCAGGAGGTGAGATCGAGGGTTTCGTTGCTTTATATACTGACCCGCCTGCACCTATGCAGGTGACTGGAGGCCCGGAACCAACACTGGGGAGAAGCCAAGTCAGAGCAGAGCAGAGATGTTGGAAGGCACCAGAGGGTTAAGCCTTCCAAGGGGCTCCAAATGACTGAGGGGAGTGGGGCGAGAGGAGTAAGGGGTCTGAACCCCCTCCTGCTCTGGGTGGGTTCTGCAGCCACCACACCTTCCTGGTAGCTTCAGGTTCTCCTCCATCTTTCAGCCAGGCTCTGGTCCAGACCCGGAGTCTGTGCCCCACTATTCCCAGGGATGCGAATGGGAGCCAGTCAGTTCCTGGGTGGGCTTGCGAGAGGTCACAGGCTCTGTGACCACCACAGCAGGTGGACACAGTGACGCTGAATCTCCAAGACCTTAGGCACCTTCAACACAGCCTTCTCAACACAGTAGCTCTCATGTGGGGGCCTCAGGGGTCTGAGGAGAGGCAGGAAGCCCTGTCTGAATGAGAGGAGGGCTGCGGCCCAGGGAGGAATTGCATCACACGTGTCTTGCATCACACGGTGCTGGTAGTGGAGGGAGACTCCTTCTTCGGGAAGGCCACAGCCCACAGTCACGCTCCGCCTGGCTCAGAACGGCAACTGCCCTCGCTTCCAAGTCACTGGGCCCTCGGCCACAACAGGTGCTCCAGGGCCTCCAGAGAGTACTTCAGGGTCCACTGGACTCCTTGTGCATGGAAGTAAGTCCAGGAGCTTCATTCTCCTGCCCTTTCCCGGAAAACACCCCAGGATTTGATGCTGGGAACGTATTGCCTTATGCTGGAGCACTGCTCCTCAACCTTTGGGATGACTTTCTTCTCTTGGTCCCTTCTCTGATGTTTTCACTTCTCACTTCTCTTGGTACCCTAATCTCAAGCAGTGGCCCCCATTCGTGTGATTTCTACCTGTGTGACCCCCTTGGAATATCCTGGGGACCTACCCGGGCACCTTCTGGCTGAGAATTTTTGCTCTGGAGTCACATCCAAGTAGCCATTCCTTCAACAGGACACGGTGGCTTGGCCTATTTTTGAGCTTCATCTTCACGGATTCATTCAGCACATAAACTTTCCGGTTCCTCTCACTGAGTGCTCCTGTGGGTGGAGCTAGGATGCCAGATGTGCCAGAAAAACCCTTGGGAGTCAGCAACAACACTGAGCAGGATGGTCCTAATCCTCACCCTGGGTCTTCACCAGGGTCAGGATGGCAGCCAGCCATGCCCATCCCAGAAACACTTCTCCACCTGATATCAAGAGCCTGGAAGAAGAATTTCGGGGTTGCTGCCTGCCATAAATTCAATTCTGCTTCTTGTCATTCCTTGTTTATTCGTACAATTGTGATGCCAGACATGGAGTAATAGGGCCAGGTCCCCATAGGGTAGTGGGCATTCTCCCCGGGAAGGACAGAACGTCTGCAAGAGCCAGAGTCTCTACCAGCATTGTCTTCAGCAGCTTGTGACCACTAAGTGAGAAAGTTGACTGGTGAAGGGACAGGTCTTAGAACACTGTGTGACTGAAACCCACCATGTACAACTTCCTACCACCAACAGTCCCCAGTTTTTTCCCCTCCTGCCCTCTCCCCCCCTGCCTCTGTGGCAGATACTTCTTTCCCCCACCTCTCATTTTCTCTCTCATTCTCTCTCCCCGCCCCCTCTCTCTTGCTCTTTCTTTCTCTCTCACTCATTCCCCCCCCACACACACACCTTTAGAGCATTATGGTTTACAATACAGAAACTGAAAGGTTATCTTGTATATATCCTTTACCTACTTTCAATATTCAGAGTGATCATTCCCAACTATTATCGTCATACCAGTCCCTTCTCTATCCTGACTGCTCCCCACGCCCTACACACTTATGGCAAGTTTACAATCACTGAACAGTCCTCTTGGTCCCTCTTTTCCCTGGACTAGGATACTAGTCTCATACGATTTTTTTTATATCCTACAAATGATTGCAGTCAAAACCAATCATGAACAATTTTGTAACTGTGTGTCTCACGGTGATTCAATTTAAAAAAAAAACAAATTAACCCAAAAATAAAAAAGAAAGGCAGCCATACATTTGAGCAGGAAAGACTGAGATTGGGTAGTCCACTTGTCTGAGGGCCACTGGAGCCAGGAGCAAACCTCCAGGTGAGCAGAAACATGAACAAAATGGATCAAAACTCTCTGAAACAATCAGAAGCTACTTACCAAGGAAGAACAGCCTAGATCTTAGAGGGGAGAAACAAAGTCAGGAAGAAGAAAGAGCAGTGAGAGAGAAGGAGCAAATCCACTCAGTCCACTCACACTGTGCAATGCCCTGGGGAAGGAAGCCTTCTATCTTTCTGTGCAGATAGAAGTCAAGAAAGTAACTAAGAAACTTACTATAACAATCTATAGTGATGGCCCACACACAGAGAAAAGGAGCATGCAGCTCACTGGGATCTCCTGTACTGAGCCAATTCCACCGGGGAGCGTCAGATGGAGTGGGTGTGCCCTCTTTGCCGACCCCTAAAGAAACCCTGCTGGACAGGAGCATCCAGAAGCAAAACCCAGGTACGAGTCTTCAGTGTAGACTAAGACTTCAGGCTACATGGAGGCAGCAGAGATAGGCCAGCCCTTCCCATCTCCCCACCCACTTGGGTCCCTGGCTGTCACGCCAATGATCTGGCTCGGGGCGTCATCTCAATGCATCAATAGCCTTGACCCAGAGACTCCCAAATGAATCTCAAAATGAACTAGCTCCCTACAGAGATGTCTCTGGACCCCAACCACTTACAATTTTCCAATTCTAGAAGTGCACAGCCACTTTGATATTCATGATGAGCAACGAAAAATAAATTATCTAGCATCTGTCTCTGGCAGACAGGCTTGAAAGTTGGTGGGAAAATTCAAAATAATGTTGGTGGGAAGGTGAAATGATAATGGTATTGGTGTTGAAATATTGAATGTAACCAATTAATGTGGACAACATTATGAAAATAAAATTAAAAAAAAAAGAAAATGAGCATATGTCTTCTAGGAGGGACAGGAAGAGAGGGAAGGTAGTTGATTAAGGCAAAAACTTAGATAAACCTACAAGAGTTGCAAAAGTCACATGTAGCGCTCAGAGCAATGATTAAAAGAAAAGAACTGGGAAGAACTGGAATCCTGGGGACAATTCCCTTATGGACACTGAAAAAAATGTTTCTTCCCTAACCATCAAATACCTTTCAATTTAATCTGCACTAAATTCATGTGGCTACTAATTTGTCTCATCCACTGCACTGCAATTGCAGCTCCTTAAACATGCCAATTCAATTCACTCACTGCAAGCCCCATGTGAGTAGGTCAAAGCACTGGGAGAAAAAAAGGAAAAAAACAAAATCAATAAAGAAAAACAAAGGGTTCCTAGAACTTGGAGGCTAGTAAATTTACCAGCCAGTTGGGAGTTGGGAAATGAGAAAACACAAAAGTACAAAATATTACTCTCATTTCTATCTGCCTCTCAGGACTGAGCAGGTGAACGGCACTTTGCTCTGTTCAAATACAAGTATTTCTGGATGGACATAAACTGGACCCCAACCTTAAGTAATTCTGCAGCTGCCTCTGGTTCCTGGGCCCCAGCAAAGCATAAATAAGGACATAAAGTCCGAATCAATCACAAGAGGGACAGACTCCAATTAGTGGGTCGGGAGTGAATATATTCAGTACTCGGAAGCGAGCAGTGGGTGGTGCAGGAGGAATTCGACCTTATTACAAATCCAAACACATCAATTGTTCGTGCTCCACGCATGTCACCTTTTTGATAAGCTCCATTATCAGAGGGTGAACGGTGCACAAATCAACCAAATTTTACGCCAACACAGAGTTCTGCATCCAGTAGTTTCTCTACCCTCCCAGGCAACAGGAGGTACACGTGATCGTAAATTTCTACCAGGCTGCTGAGACAGAATTACACAATTCCTCTGGTAGCAAAAACCAGATGCAGTTAGTCTGTGTGCGACTCTTTCACCACACAGTGCTTATGTCACACACCCTTTCCTGTAGCTCCTACATGACGGGAAACCAGGAAGGCACAGGACCTGCTCCTGGAGTACAGCTCCCAAGAAGTCCGGCACTACCCTGCGGCTATGTCTATCTATGAGACGCTGAAACTTCATGCACTCGGAGCAGGTATAGCACCTTTGGGATGAAGCGCCTGTCAAAACTGCTAAACTCAAATATCATTGCAAAGAAACGGTAAGACAACTTTAAACTTACAAAACTTTTGGTATTCTTTAAACAAACAAAAAAGAATCACAGTCATGTGGGGCTGGGAATACAACTCAGCAGTGGGGAATTCGCTTACACATGAGCTCCTGGGTTTGATCCCAAGAACGGGGGATCCGGGGAGTCGGGAGAGGGGAGAGGTACCCTGAAACTGAGCTGGATCAACAAGCACTGAAGAAGCAAGAAGCACAGCCAAGCGATGTGTGACCCTTCAAATATCTTCTTCTATGAAGTATATGCTGTTTGCAACCTACACATGGAGTTTTAAGGAGGGACATAAACACGGGAAAATGTGAATATGAGGCAACTGTTTACTGTATTCAAAATTATAGTATGGGATCAACTGAAGCTTTAAGGCATTCAAAAACTCAAACCAGTTGTCACCATACTTATTTTTTTTTCTTTTTCTTTTCTTTTTTTTCTTTCATTATGGGGCCTCACCTAGCAGTGCTCAGGGCTCAGGGTCCTAAACCAATGCTCGGGAGACCCTATGCGGTGCCAGAGATATAGAACTGGAGTCAGCCATGTGGAAGGCAAGAGTCTTCCCTGCTCTACCATCTCTGTCTCTCGTAATATTTGTCCTTCCTTTAAAAAAAAAACACCTCTTCCAATATTTGATTGCTCTTTTCATCGCAGAAAAGTGACCCCCAAGTGAGCAGGCACTTACGCGAGCAGGTGGCGGTCTGCCACTCCAGACACTGCCCGTAGGGGAAGGAGATGATGTAGGCGTTGGAGTCGACGCAGCGGCGCGTGCTGCTACACCACATGCACTCCATGCCGTTGCTGGTGCAGTTGGAGCACGACGTCCGCAGGGAGCACGGCTTCTTGCAGGGACGCGCGTTCTGATTCGGACTCACTGGAAAGCAACACACAGGCACGGGTCTCTCCTCTGAGTAGCAGTGTGGGAAGGTACACGGAGCAGGCTTATTTGATTGTCTCTTTAGCTACTGTCCCAACTATGCCCCGCAGAGCGTAAAAATGACAGCATCAATAACGTGGCCAATAAAAATGAAAGCCATGTGGCGACACTTCTTAAATTTGTCGCCAGATTTGCACGTTGTCACTGGGAATGGTCACAAGGCACACCGAGTTGTATAATTTAAAAAGATTATCGAGGCTGGGGGCATAGCTCGGGGTGGAGAGTGCGTGCTCTGCATCTACGGGGTGCTGGGTTTGATTCCCAGCACCCTAAAAAGAAAATGATAAACTGAAATGCAACATATGAATTGATATTTCTATCTGCTTATGGAAAAAAATGGACATAGTCATTCTCTCATGTCCCAGCTACAATTCTGTCCATAACCATGTTATACCTTATCGAAGTAAATTTGATCAGAGCTCATGTCTCTGATATAAACAAAAAGAATTACCAAACGACCTTTACATAAAATCCAATATATGTCACATCTATTGGAAAGATATTGGCATAAAAATCAGCATCCCAATAAGATGGTGGAAGCTACATCATGCACATAGACCACTCCCACCCACCTCCCTCAAAAGAAGGATATGGAAAAAGAGGGATTGGAAATGCTACATTTTCCCCCCTTTTTGGGTCACATCTGGCAATGCACAGGGGTTATTCCTGGCTCTGCACTCAGTAATTACTCCTGGTGGTGCTTGTGGGACCATATGGGATGTCTGGGATCGAACCTGGGTCAGCCAGGTTCAAGGCAAATGCCCTACCCACTGTACTATCACTCCAGTCCCAAAGAAATGCTCCATTTCTAAGATCCTCATTGATCCACCACTTACCCACAGGCTTTTCACAGACGAGACCATCTGCCATGGACGTACAAGGATTGGCTTTGAGCCCCGCCACAGCGGCCCTTTCTAGATACGCGCAGAAGCCAGAGTCATTGGGCTCTCCGGGAAGCCACTGCAGCGAGGTGTTGGTGAAGGGGGACATGTCTTCCCAGCCCCAGTAGGAAATGTTGATCTTGCGCAGGCCTACCCACGGCGAGACTTTCTGCACACACAGTGAAAGGAGCATTTAGAACCATCAGGCGGGGGGCCCGCGCGTCCCACTCCTGAGCAAAACCGTCACTATCCTGACAAAGGACACGGGAGGACTGTAGAGCACATCCGTGGCTGATGAGTTCTGGTGGCAGATCATAACTGTCCCAGCACACTTTGGAGAATGTTGTAAAGTTGAAAACTGTTTTTAAATATGGATGTATAAGACAATGGATGGATTCTAATACATTTAAATTCTAGACAAGAAAGAAAAGTTTGGAGGCTGGAACGACAGCACAGCGGGTAGGGTGTTTGTTTGCTTTGCACGCGGCCCACCTGGGTTAGATTTCCCAGCACCCCATATGGTTCCCTGAGCACCACTAGGGGTAATGTCTGAGTGCAGAGCCAGGAGTAACCCCTGTGCATCGCCGGGTGTGACCCAAAAAGAAAAAAGAAAAGAAAAAAAAGAAAGGAAAAGAAAAGAAAAGAAAAGAAAAGAAAAGAAAAGAAAAGAAAAGAAAAGAAAAGAAAAGAAAAAAGAAAAGGAAACGAAACTCCAAATGGATGCACACCACCTGACTGGGTAAGATTCTTGCACCACTGAGGCAAGTGGCTTTCCGACACCCACAGCTGAGCTATGGAAATGGGTTCTGGGTGAGCACAGTCGGGCTGCTGAGTGGGGCTGTGCATTCATCAATCCTATATGCTTGGAGGTTGGTTCCACTTTGCACATGCTTTGCTCATCACACAGAGTGCCAATTCGACAAGTTGCCAATTCAACACCATTTGCAGCTCTAATTCTCCCAGAAGAGGCTCCTCCAGCCACGGCAGCCACAGTATATTTATCTGGACACATGTACCAGGTAGGCGGAGCGTAGTCGGGGAGAAGCTGCGGCCAAGATCCACCATCTCCATGCAGCAAGCCGGACCCTCGTACCCAAGCACATTGCCACCCAGATTTTGGTATCATTAATGTTTAGCCTCATCATTTACTTTTGATCTCTATTGAGTTTTTACTTTATTTTCTAAGCAATCTTTTTCAAAAATCTGATATGACAGCTTATATATTTCAAGCAAGTACATGAACTAAAAATACACTTGCAAACTAGATTACGGAATTGTTTTGAGTCTCCTAGTGAACCTATTAACATGTGACCATATTTTAATAGCCCAAGAATAGAAACTACTGTAAATTCTCCTTAGATATGTCCTATAAATTGGTATTTATATAACTTGTTGGAAGGTTATAATTTCCTATGAAAATATTTTCTTAAGATACTCTAGAAAATGAATGTTTTTCCAAGTGCTATCCATTTTAGCATTTTTTATACTGTTTAAAATGAAGTTTTTCAAAATAGGAGACTAACACCCAAGAATAGCCGAGACAAGTACCAGGAGGTTCACTCCATGGCTTGGAGGCCAGCCGCACATGCTGGAGTAAAAGGCAGCTCAGATAGAGAAGGGAGCTCCAAATAAAGGGTGTTGGAAGGATCATCTCAGGATGAGAGATGCATGCCGAAAGTGGACTATAGACCGAACAAGACTGTCACTCAATGTTTCTTTTGCAAACCACAGCACCCAAAAGGAGAGAGAGAACAAAAGGGAATGCCCTGCCATAGGGGTGGGGTGGGATGGAGGGGGGGTGGGGGGGGGGGGTGTGAGGGATTCCAGGAGCATTGGAGGTGGAGAATGGGCACTGGTGGAGGGATGGGTACTCAATCATTGTATAACTGAAACCCAAGCACAAAAATTTTTATATCTACAACTGTACCTCATGGTGTTTCACTAATAAAAATTTCAAAAAATAAAATAAAATAAAATGTAGTCTTTAATTCTACCAACTTTTATTTTACTGTTTCAAGTAAATCTCTACCTACCTAAAAAGCAGCATGAAGTTAGTTAAAATAACAAATTACTCTCACGCTTTGTCTCTCTCACTCACATACATAAACAATGGTTAGTCTGCTGTTTTAATTATAAGGGACATCTCAAATTAAAATTCAAAATAATCCGCTCCTCTCTGGAAAGAAAGATGGCGGCCGCACGGGAGCCTTGTGGAAAGCAGGTTTGAGCCAGGGCTGGCGGGAGCGGCAGGGACCTCATGGGAAGGGGGGCTTTGTGGGCCGTCCCCCACGCCCCACCGAGGTCGCCAGCTGCCCCCCACGAGCGGCTCTCCGGCACGGCCACGACTCCAGGGCACAGAAACCAATCTCTTAACTAGCTAACTTTTAATAGAAATTCTTCCAGGGTCAATAAGTAAAATAGCAGAAATTCAAAACCTCATTTTATTCTTAAACCAAGTTGTAGAAAGCAAATCATTTCACAACGCTGTTTCAGCATGTCTGATTGTGGGGGGTGGGTCGTAAACTCTAAACAATAATTGTGCATCTTCTATCGAAATAATCTATCTAGTCAAAGTAGATAGAGTATTAACTAGAACTCATCTGCCTCACAAGAATTGGGAGGGGTAGGAGGTGGGGGTCTATTGGGGTTCGGGGTTAAAAATGAGTATTGGTAAAGGGAAATGTGTTTGGTATCTACATGACTGAGACCTAAACCCAAAAGCTCTGTAACTTTTCCCACAGTGATTCAATAAATAAATAAATTATAAAAAAATAAAAAATAAAAAAAATAAAATAAAATTCAAAATAAATCCTTACATGATATGCACATGTATTTGATTTACTTATTCATGAAATAATGTAAGATAATGTAAAATAATGTAAGATAAAGTAATGATTTACTCTATAAAACATAAAATAAGCAAATTAGAAAATTTACACATAGCATAATCCAAAATCAGTTCACATTTGAAATCTGTTCTATTTTTGTTATTACTTATAATTAAAAACAGAATTTGCTATTACTAATTATTAGGAAATTACTGACACATTTCCATTACATGAATAAACACAGCTGTTACCTGTTGCGTATACTTTTGTATTTCATCCAGAACAAATTCTACTTCTTTTGAGGTTGTTAATGAAGCAAGATTTCCACTCAGATTATAGCAATAAAGTTTGGCATTATCATAGCTTTCTCTACTAGAATTGAGTCTGAGACACGCATCACCAATATGATTCCATCCTTCTCCGCAAAGATGAGCTATTCGAAAGAAAAACATATCTTATTTTTCGATTACTAAAAGGCAAGTTCGTTTTTCAATAATTTTAAAATTATAAACATAACTTTCACATTTGTTTTAATAATTTTCAACAAAAAATAAAAAGTTAAATATTTTAAATACTCCAAAAATGTCTCTGTAATTTTGAAAATGACAACAGGAGATTGTATTTTTTTTTATAATCGGTGATGGGGGGTTGAATCCATTGGTGCCTGGGGACAATTCGGGCTCAGGAGCCTCTTAGGTGGTACTTGGGGAGCATCTGGAACATGGGGCAGAGCCTCAGTTTCCATAAACGGTGCACACTCTTCCATCCTTTGCACTATCTTCTGAGCCCCTTTCATGTAATTCTTAAACATAAAATGTCACTGCTCTGTAACAACTATTAAAATGTGCTATACAAGTGGCACTACATGGAAAGTATCATGCCAAGTGAAATGAGTCAGAAAGAGAGGGACAGACATAGAAAGACTGCATTCATCTGGGGAATATAAAGTAACAAATTGGGAGACTAACACCCCAGAATAGCCAAGATAAATAACAGGAGGTTCACTCCATGGCTTGGAGGCCAACCACACATGTTAGGGGAAAAGAGAGCTCAGATAGAGAAGGGAGCACCAAATAAAGGGTGTTAGGAGGATCCTCCCAGGGTGGGAGATGCATGTTGAAAGTAGACTATAGACCGAACATGACTGCCACTCAATGCCTCTTTTGCAAACCACAGCACCCAAAAGGAGAGAGAGAACAAAAGGGAATGCCCTGCCACAGAGGCAGGGTGGGATGGGGGGATGGGTGGTGGGAAATGGGCACTGGTGGAGGGATGGGTACTCAATCATTGGATAACTGAAACCCAAGCACAAAAATCTGTAAGTCTACAACTGTACCTCATAGTGTTTCACTAATAAAAAAAAAATAATTAAAAAGGTGCTGATTTCATCTACTCAATGAAACAGTATGCAACTGTTACAAAAAATGAAGTTGCCTACAAATGGATGGATATGGAGAGAGAGTATTATGCTGGGTGAAATGAGTAAGGAGGAGAGGAGGGACAGATACAGAATGACTGCATTCATTTGTAATTTGTAGTATATAAAAATATATATACAGTAGAAGATGAATATCCATAACCAGGGAAAACGAGGGCTAGGAGGACTGGTCAATGGTTGGCATCAACCACAAGTGTGTGTGAGGCAGAGGGTAGGTAAAATACTGTAGAGACCAGTATGACAATAATAGCTGGGAATGATCACGCTGGACAAGATCTGAGTGTTAGAAGTGGGTAAAGTGATATTCTGGATAACCTTTCAGTATTAATATAAAGCACAATGCCCAAAAGGAGAGGGGGGGGGGAGAGAGAGAGAGAGAGAGAGAGAGAGAGAGAGAGAGAGAGAGCAAAGTGCCTGCCATAAAGACAGGCTTTGGAGTGGGGGCTCGGGGTGATGGGAGGCAACCTGGGGACACTGGAGCTAGAAAATGTGCATTGGTGGAGGGATGGGTGCTGGAACACTGTATGACAGAAATCCAGTCATGAACAGTTTTGTAAGAGTCTATCTCAACATTTCGGTAAAAGTTAAAAGAAGAAAAGAAAGAAACATGGTGATGGAATTTTTTAAAAATGTCTATTATATATATTAAAAAAAAACACCAACTTTCGCACAGCAAAAGATACTGCTGACCAAGCCAAAATACACCCTAGGATTGGGGGTGATGGGGGCTGGGAAGGGCACTGTTGACCTTTGTCAGAGGATTTTGCTAGTAGATTTCTGTGTCAGTCTAGTGTTCTGGCATTTGAAATTTAAACAAATAAATCACTTTTTCTTTATCTCCAAAGATCTGATCTACAAAATGTTAGAAATCTCAATAGAAAAATAGCACATAACAAAAGCAATTTAAACATTATTCCTTTTGGGGGTGGGAGGGATGCTGGGACCCACGGAGGTGGAGGATGGGCGCTGGTGGAGGGAGGGGTACTTGATCATTGTATAACTGAAACCCAAGCACAAAAATTTGTAAGTCTATAACTGTACCTCATGGTGTTTCACTAATAAAAAATATAGATATGTAAAAAAAAAAAAGAAAAAAATTATTCCTTTAAATGCAGTTATTTATCCCTCAAGTTGACTTTCCTTAGCCCAGATATATTCTATTGGTGCAATTAATATCTTTGATTATTTCATTATACCTGTGGAGAGGTCCCATTTCCCGCATGTTTAGTAAAGAAGTAAAAAAATTACTGCTTTCTAATATTTGTTTGTACATAATGATTCAGGTTTTCCTAATAATACAAAAAATAAAAATGTTTCATAATATTAGTTTATCCAGAGTCCAAATTATAATTAAACTTTTCTAATATAGATTTATAAAGTTATAAATTTTAAAGTTATAAAGTTATCTGACATTCATTAACCATGATTTATCAGCACACTAACATAAAGTTATATTGCATTCAGACCATATTATAGTAAATATTATTTTTATTTATATCACTATTATTTCCCCAAACTGCCACCAGTAATGAAATTTCCCTCTTACTAAAACAGTTTTCCTTCAAGTATATGAATTTCTTTAGTTAAATCTTATTTTGATCCAGGATATACTTTTTCTAAACAGAGTATTATTACTGATCCACATGCTAATTTCAGGGTTGACTCTTAGAAATGGGTACTACTCTGAAGGAAGTTTCAACTCACTATTGCTTCTTAAATCCTACCTACAAAATTAGTAGTCTCTAATTTTCAAAAGGTAAACACACACGCATACTATCACTATTTAAATGCTTTAAAACTCTGTATTAAAAAAACTTAATCTTAAACATTACAAAACCCTAAAGACAATCTAATGTTTACCTTATTACATGTACTTGTAATAAAAATATAAATCCTGTGATGCAATTTTCCAAAACATTTTAGAATTACTAAAGGCTCAGAATTTTCTCTATAGAAATAATTAAAAACAAAACAAATCCATGGTATATAAAAGGCAAATTACTAAACAGAGACACCAGTTAAATTTATATCTGCCATATACAAGCTCTGTAGTTTTAAGAAAGTCACTTAATGGGGTGCCTCAGTTTATCTGCATAATATGAAGAATGGAAGTGGCCAGGGAAATACAATACTTTTTCATTTTCTTCTTTCTTTTATATTTAAAACAAAAGTACTTTGGGTTTAATGAGACTGTTTACTGTAAAAAAAATAATTACTTATTAAAATGGGTTTTTGTCTAGTCTTTACACGTTAGGTTCTAGTAAAGTCATAGAATATAAATGCTCCAATTATAATAAGAAACATTCAGTAAAATGCACTTCAATTTAAAAACAAAGGACCCTTAAAAATAAAATAAACATATAAAAATGTTAACATTTACAAAATCTGACAATTATTAATCTGAGTGCTATTTTTCTATTTTTAAGAGAGAAGTATCTTTAATCCCAAGAATTCTGATGAAGTCCACATTATGTCTAAATCCAAGAATAAAACCAAAATTTATTTGAAAGCTAAAAATCCTTGAACATGTTAAGAGAGTTAGAAGAAAATATACCTTAAAAAAAATTCCCTTTGGCTACATCTTTATTATAATGGCCGACCCGAGTTCGATTCCTCCGCCCCTCTCGGAGAGCCCGGCAAGCTACCAAGAGTATTCGATATGCCAGACACAGTAACAATAATAATAATTATTATTAATATATTATTATATTATATTATTAATATTAATTATATAAGTATAATAATAATTATAGCAATAGTTTACAAGAGTGTAAATAATTGCAAGTTTTAGGGATACAATATTGTCACATTAAACCCACCACCGAAGTACCAATGTCTGTCCTCCACTGTTCAAAAGATCCTTCTCATCTACACCCACCCCGCAGTAATTTCAATTCTGCTTTTAGAGCATAAGTTGTTTCCGTAGGTCAATGTAAATTGCCTTGTTTTGTTCCTTATGTAACACATCATAGGTGGGATTTTTCTTTCTCCTTCTGACTTATTTTAATGTAACGTGACACCCTCTAATTCCACTCATGTGTCAGCAAAACACAAGATTTCCTCTCTTCTTAGAGCTGACTAGTATTCCATTGTGTACATCTCTTCCTATTTATTTTCCCTGCTTTTCTAATAGTCACCTGAGTTGTTTTTAAGATTTTGACTGCTACAAATAGTACTGCAATGAACACAGAGGTGAGCCCATATCCTTTTTTCTTGGTCCTGTGTTGATGGGATAAATACTCTTGAGTGGAACTGATAGGTCAGATGGTAATTTTATTTTTAATTTTTTGAGGTGTCGCCATACTGATACCAACTTCTCTTATGGAAACATTAGTACCGTTATTACTATAATAGTATTGTGTGCTTGCTACTGGTTTTATTTTATAAAATGCACTGCTCTTAATGCTCTCAATACTGTTTACTGTAATGACGCTTGTTGAAACAATAATAAATCTCAGTTGCCAAATTGCAAGTCTTACCTGGCAGAGCCTGGCATTCCTGCTGCCTCTGATCCCACTGGCAGTTCAAGTTTAGGGAGCAGCTTTTACAGCTGGTAAGTTTGTTGCAAATCTGCTCATTTCTCACATGACACTTGGTGTAGTTTTTCACGGACTAGAAAATTAAGAGGAGGCACGTTATTTTTCACTCATGGAGGCAATGTGTCTTCAACCTCACCACATAAAATTCACCAGGTGAAATTACTGTTCCTAACCCCTAGTCCAATTCTGACCAAATCAGATACTCTTAATCATTTCTTTAAAGTGTAGCTCTTGGAGTTGGAATATGTACCTATTGGGTTGGGGTTGATTTATAAAACAGACACTCAAGTAACCTTTTATTCTAAATTTGATAACAAGTTTGCATTTCAAGAAATAAAGTCATTTCTCTTAATGATTATATGAAAGAATTCTAGTTAATGAAACTCTTCTGCACGATCTCTGAACATGAAGAAGAGACAAGTAGCCAAATTAAATTAAAATGATGCCAAAGCAAAAAACAATACAATTGATAGAGACACATTTTTCTCTCAGTTGCTCGCAGAGATTTGACTTTCATGGACGCCACACAATGCCTGTGTGTTAACTGATGCTTTTCCCTGTATCTGTCACATTTCCTGCATCAAGCCTCCAAAGAAACTGCAAAAGCAATGTTCTGATCAATCTTATCACACAATGTCATTAAAATTCAACTAATTCCAGCACAAAGAGGCTGAACATTAAAGATTTAAAAATTTAAAAGACAGCCAACACAGAAGCTCAGGTGTGTAGTCCCCAATATGTCACACGATTCACTACTTCACATGATTATTACCAGTATCTACGATAAAAGCGAACTCCCTAAAAGACAATTCTGATATTCCCAGGTCTGCCCCGGGGGCGGGGGGGGGAGGACAACGGGAGGACTGTGCAGTCAATGTGATCATTAGAGAATATCCTACTCCAATTCCCCTATATGTATAAATATCTACTTATTTTCCATCTTATTTTATCTATATGTATAAATATCTACTTACTTCAGGCTGTCTCTTATAGAAGAACTAAATACTTTTTAGTCAATAAACATAGAAGTGAAATTCACATTAAGTTATTTGGTGTATCATGTATTTCTCACACAGTATTTATTTCTGTGTGTCCTTCTATACCATTTAAAGCACTTATACCTTTCTTTATAGATTACTTGCAGTTCCCTCCATTTCAAAAAAAATTTTTTTAACCTCTTAAAATAAATACATACATAATAAGAAAAAAAGATAAAACATAATTATAGCACTGCTTGTAATTTTCTTTTGCTCATTCTTTTATTTTGTTTTGGGGACACACCCAGCTATGCTCAGGGCTTACTCCTGGCTCTGTGCTCAGGGTCACTCCTGGCAGGGTACAGGGGACGAAAGTGTTAATAGGGATCAAACCCTGTGTCAGCTGAATGTAGGCAAGCGAATCTTATTCACCATACCACTTCTAAGGCCCTCCATGTTTATCATTTTCAGTAGGAAATAAATCACAGATGATTCATTTTTCCACATCACGAATTTCTTTGTTACCATCATTCCCTCCAATTTTTTCAAGAATACACAAATATTTTTTCTGCACTGTAGTACTGTCACTGTAGCACTGTCCTCCCATTGTTCATCGATTTGCTCGAGCGGGCCCAGTAACGTCTCCATTGGAGACTTTGTTGTTACTGTGTTTGGCATATCCAATACGTCATGGGTAGCTTGTCAGGCTCTGCCGTGCGGGCGAGATACTCTTGGTAGCTTGCCGGGCTCTCTGAGAGGGGCGAAGGAATTGAACTCAGGTCGGCCAAGTTGGCTGCATGCAAGGCAAATGCCCTACAAGATTCATAATTTTTCTGATTCATAGTTTTCTGGGCTGGAGCAATAGCACAGCAGTAGAGCACTTGCCTTGCATGCAGCCGGCCAGGCCGACCCAAGTTCGATTCCTCTGCCCCTCTCAGAGGGCCCGGCAAGCTACTGAGAGTATCTCACCGGCACAGCAAAGCCTGGCAAGCTACCCGTGATGACCCGTCATCATTCAAAAGACGTATTCAATATGCCAAACACAGTAACAAGTCTCACAATGGAGACATTACTGGGACCGCATGCGCAAATTGAAGAACAACGGGAGGACTGTGCAGTCAATGTGATCATTAGAGTATATTTCCAAATATTTACCACCTAAAAGAAAATATATTTACTTGACTCTACTGACAACCGATAGACACGTTTAGAGAATGGCTAAAGAACATTTTAGAATGAATGAGAGAATAATGGCTTCATTTTGATCTTTACACTGGCAATGATAAATATTAAAGTCAGCAACCAAATAGCTCTGCTGCTGCCAATTAAGAAAAGTACAGTTATTTACTGATATTGAACCAGTAGAACAGATAAAATTAATTTCAGTCCCACAAAGGACAAATGTAACCAAGAAAGCTGTTATTCTTAAACACAGGATAGCATTTTTAGCCTAATCAAGCAGAAGTATAATGGTAAGCTGATTGTAAAGGGAAACAATACTGATGGCCATTCTGAAATATAGATCTATATTCATGTATAAATTATATATAATATAAATAAAATAAAGGCCCTCCCATTGATCATCGATTTGCTCGAGCGGGCCCAGTAATGTCTCCATTGGAGACTTTTGTTGTTACTGTGTTTGGCATATCAAATACGTCACGGGGAGCTTGCCAGGCTCTGCCGTGCGGGCGAGATACTCTCGGTAGCTTGCGGGGCTCTCCGAGAGGGGCGGAGGAATCAAACTCGGGAACTCGGGTCGGCCATGTTGGCTGCGTGCAAGGCAAACGCCCTTGTAAATTATATAAAATTTAAGATTTAAAAATATAGTATAAATAAACAGGTTATTTGAGCACCTAAAACAAACAACCTGCAGTAAATAGGATTAAGCATAGAAATAGGATAGCAATGGACACCATTTACACTAAAACCTCAGACTTTGGAGTATCTATTAGCATTTGGTTTAGCCTACCAGATATTCTGGTAAAACTCTCTAAATGATACAGCATATCAAGATCTAAAGTACAGGTGGGTAGTACTAATACATCATTTTCAAAAACATAGCATATAGCCGAGTTTACTTTATAAAAAGAATACTTGATTTAAGTGTAACTTAGCAAATATTCAGATGTGTGTTTTCACTTAGTGTAAGAACCTAAACACAAACTAACAACTTGACCCAAAGTTTTAAGTAAAAATCTATTTGCAAATTTTTATTAATGAAATAATGTTTCATAACATTTCAGGTATGCATTTCATTTCATTTCATCATCCTGTTATTCGTCGATTGCCTCGAGCAGGCCCCAGTAACGTCTCTTTCATCCTAGCCCTGAGATTATATTCAAGGCTATTTAGGAGAATGAGACCCATCGTTGTTACTGGTATTTGGCATATTTGGTACGCCACGGGGAGTTTGCCAGACTCTGCCCTGTGGGCAGGCTACATTCGATAGCCTGCAAGTTTGACAAACTTGCAGGTATGCAGCCTTATGTTTAATAAATAGCATGATCACTACTGAAAATCCAATAGCACAGTGGGTAGGGTGTTTGCCTTGCACGCGGCCGACCCAGGTTCAATTTCTTCATCCCTCTCAGAGAGCCCGGCAAGCTACCGAGAGTATCCCGCCTGCATGGCAGATACTGCCATGGGAAGCTCCCCATATTCAATATGCCAGAAACAGTAATAACAAGTCTCACAATAGAGACGTTACTGGTACCCGCTTGAGCAAATCGATGAACAATGGGAAGACAGTGCTACAGTGCTATTGAAAATCCAATTTCCATATAATAAAAAATTAACATTATCTGCCTACTTTACATACCCATCCCATTCTCCTCATAACCAGAACCTAAAGTTTGCTTTGTTTCATCTCTTTTGTTTCTTTCTCTTCTACATTAAGTGAAACCGTATTTCATCTTTTTTCATACAATTTCTTTCACTTAGCACGATTCCCTCAAGGTTTAGCTGTACTGTGCAAATGTTAAGAATTTTATTTTTGTATCTGCAGAATATTCTATTTGTATACATATACCACATCTGTCTCTACTCATCTATCAACAGGGAACTTAGGTTGTTTTCACATCTTGGCCTTTATCATATTCAACAGTGAAAAACTGAGTGCTTTTTTGCTAAAACTGGGAATAAGTCAAAATATGCTCACTCTCACCATTACTAATCAACATAGTATTGCACGTCCTAGACAAAGCAATTAGGCAAGAAAAAAATAAGTCAAAGTAGAAAAAAGTATTAAAAGTAGAAAACTGTCATAACTTATGGATGATGTGATATCATACATACACACACACTAAAAATACCTACTAGAATAAATGAATACAGTAAAGTTGTAGACTACAAAAGTAAATATAAAAAAACACCATTATGCCTCAACATAAGCAATAATCAGGGAAAAAAATGTCACTGGGACAACAGCAGAGATAAGAAGATACTCTGTTGGGGGGTGTGGTGCTGGAACATTTCCTGCATAAAACCATTGGCAGAAGGGTGCTTAAAAATAAAAAAAAAAATTTTAATGATTCCATTTATAATTGCATCAAAAAGAATCAGATAACTAAATTTAAATTTAGTCAATAATAATTTTAAAAACCTGTGCTAAAGGCTAATTATAAGATAAGATAAAATCACTTAAATCACTCAATCACTTAATCACTTAATCCCCGTTATTCATCGATTCATTCGAGTGGGTGCCAGTAACGTCTCCATTCATCCCAGTTGCGTGCTAGCGTAGCCCAATGGTATCTGTTCGTTTTAGGAACATGTAGAGCCTCAAACCGATCATTTAGGGTCTTGACGAAGAAGTCTGACCATCTTATAGGTGGGCGTCCACGTGATCTTTTGATGTCTCGTGGAATCCAATCAGTAATGGCTCTAGTCCAGCGGTTGTCTGTAAACCTCATTACGTGTCCAGCCCATCTGATTTTTGATGTCTTGGCAAATGAGACAGCGTCCCTGATTCTTGAGCGTTGACGAAGATCAGAACTCTGGATTCTATCTCTCATTTGAGTGAATCGTGATATTCCAAGCATAGTTCTTTCGATTCCTCTTTGAGAGACCCGAATAGTGTTCTCATACTGTTTTCGTAGGGTCCAGGTCTCTGAGGCATATGTTAATGCAGGAAGAATAGTGGAATCAAAGAGATGTGCTCGTAGCTGGAGGTTCTTTGTCCTTTTAGTTATTTCTTCAATGATCTTGAAGGCATTCCAAGCCACTCTCTTCCTCCTGCGCAACTCAGGTGCCAGGTCATTTATCATAAGATAAAATATAAAATATTTTTTGGAAAAAACTGAAGACACGAAGAAATGAAAACACATTTCATGCTCATGGAACAGAAGAAATAACAATGGGCTTCTCTACCTGAAGCAAAATACAGATTCAGCACAATCCATAGCAAATTTCCAATGGTTATTCTCACAGGAAAAGAACAAAAAAATCCTAACATATGCATGAAGCCACAAAAAACTTTGAGGAATTAAAGTAAAAAAATAAATAATTTAAAAAAGTCAAACTAAAATAAAACCAACAAAGATAAAAGGAAACACTGGGGATGGGGACATGGTGTGCATGGGCCTCCAGCCTGCATACTAAGGTACTCAGAGAACCAAGTGGCACCAGGGATGCAACCAGGATAAGCCTCATACAAGGGCTGCTCTCAACTATCTCACAGGCAGCAAAAATTTTTAATTTATTTTTGCCAAACTCCCTTTTATTTGCTTGTTATGGCTTTCTGGAATCTTTAAAGATAAGTGAATACCTTTAATGACAAAATAAATTTTAAAAAATTAAAAAATAGCATATATTTAATAGAAAATAAACACTGCATTATTTATTTGACAGGTAATCCAATTAGCAAATTTTAAATTTGATTAAATACTAATTACTTTAAACTTTCCATTTATTTATCTCTTTATAGCACAGCGGGTAGGGCGTTCGCCTTACAAACGGCCAACATGGCTGACCCGAGTTCGATTCCTCCGCCCCTCTCGGAGAGCCCGGCAAGCTACCGAGAGTATTCGATATGCCAGACACAGTAACAACAAAGTCTCCAATGGAGACGTTACTGGGCCCACTCGAGCAAATCGACGATCAACGGGAGGGCCTTTAAAAGTGAGAACTTTTTTGAGTGGAGCACACCCAGGGGTGATTAGGGTTTATTACTGGCTGTGCGCTAGGGGTTTAGTCCTGCTGTGCTTGGGGGACAATATGCAGTGCCAGAGATCAAACTGTGGTCAACAGCATGCAAGACAAGTGCCCTTACTTCTGTATTATTTCTCTGGCTACAAAGACGCTGCTCATAATCTGTTCTCAGTTACCACAGTATTAATTTTGTAAGTTCTTTAACCTCCCATAGTGTTTTTCAACCTCACTACTGAGATTTTGAGGAAGATAATTTTTTGTTATTATTATTATTATTATTATTATTATTTTTATTGGGAGCTATATCCAACGGTTGCAGTTACTGGTGCTTTGCTCAGGATTGACTACTGTTAGTGTTCAAGAGACCATTTTCAATGCTGGGAATTCAAATCAGGGTCACAACCAACACAGTCACATGCAAGGTAAGTGCCGTCTCTCCTCTGGTGGGCTCAGGGTGGGCTCAGACCATATGGGGTGCCGGGGACTGAACCTGGATCAGTAGTGTGCAAGGCAAGAACCCTATCTGCTATACTATCTCTCCAGCCCCAATAAGTATTATTTTGTTGGGAAGGAAGGCTGTTAGATTACAGGATGTTTAATAGCATCATGGACCTGTCTCTACTAGATATGTCAGTAGCAGCCTCACTATTGTGACAATCAAAAATGTATACCCACACCACCTAATGTTACTTGAGGCAAAAATGAGTCTCCAGCTCAGAACCACTGGTCTAAAATAAGACAGATAAAATGGAAACTACCACCAATCAATACCTGAGGCTCAACATAAAAATTTATAAACTTATCAAGCATGTAAACAAGCATTAGTCCACGCCACTGTTAGTGCATGTCTAACAATTACCTCATGGAAAGAACTACAGTACTATCTGTCAATATAGAAGACATGGTTTATTGCATAACTACCTTTTTTTAAATATGTTTTATGCATTAATTTTTATGCAAACTTTTAAGGACTTTTCTGTCTTCAATGAAAGCAAGTAAAAATTACTTTATCTTAAAACAGAATCTAGGGGCAGAGACAGCCTAAAAGTCTGCATGCATGCTTTCTTTACAGGAGGCCTGGGTTCAATCCCCATCACTGCCTGGCTTCCACATTGTATGAGCTCAAAACATAAGTTTTAAAAAAGTAGACTCTACAGAAAGAGAGGGATAGACATAGAAAGATTGCATTCATTTGGGGAACATAAAGTAACAAAATAGGAGACTAACACCCAAGAATAGCCAAGAAAAGTACCAGGAGGTTTACTCTATGGCTTGGAGGCCAGCCACACATGCTAGGGGAAAAGGCAGTTCAGATAGAGAAGGGAACACCAAATAAAGGATGTTAGGAGGATCCTCCCAGGATGGGAGAAGCATGCTGAAAGTAGACTATAGACCAAACATGATTGCCACTCAATGCCTCTTTTGCAAACCACAACACCCAAAAGGAGAGAGAGAACAAAAGGGAATGCCCTGCCACAGAGGCAGGGTGGGATGGGGGGGAAGGGGAGTGGGAGGGATACTGGGATCCGTGGTGATGGAAAATGGGCACTGGTGGAGGGATGGGTACTCGATCATTGTAAAATCGAAACCCAAGCACAAAAATTTATAAGTCTACAACTGCACCTCGTGGTGTTTCACTAAGAAAAATTTTTTAAAAAAAGTAGACTCTAAACTAACAAATCTGAGTTCCAAGTAAGAGAATAAGTTTACAATAAACTGAGAGCTGAGTGATTTTTTTTGGTTTCCAAATGTCATGTACATCATATGCGATATTGTACAGTGCTGCTTAACAGAAAGATAATGACTCAAAGTCGCAATTTCACTCTCCCACCCCTGGCCCATATACTAACCATACTACAGTTACTACTTGCTGAAATGCATTTCTTGTCATCACACCACTGGCACCCGTTTGTGTTGGCAGTGCAGCTGGCACAGTCTGCATACCTGTAACATCTGTCATCAGAGGCAACTGTAATACAGATGGGAGATGGAACACATCAGGACGGAAAGGAGAATGACACCCTTCTGAACCCACACACTGTCACATCTGTCCTAAGTATCGCTAAGAAATTTTTAGACAGCACATATGACCAACAATATCAAATTATGGTTTCTGGTATAAAACCAACTTTTTAGCTAATTGGTTTTTATAGTTTTAAATCACTCCTACCTCCTTGTTATTTATTCAATGTACCAGACTCCAGTGGCCATCTTAAATTTACATATTATAGAGGGAAAATATGTATATATTTGTGCACATGAAGTATTCTACTGAGTAAAATGTTAACTGTACATCTAAAATAAAATATTGCTAGAAATATTACCTATTCTTCAAAAGCATATAAAAATATCTGTTAAAGATTATCCAAACTTAAAAAATACACACTAACTGTACCAGTAATAAATAAAATCAAACTATTTAAATAAAATTAAATAAATATTATTCATTAATATTTACTAGAATTTTCATAAGATTAATTTATTTGTTCAATACTTTGTGAGAAAAAATAAAATAAGACATCAGTCATCAAAATTCTAGAAAATATTTTAACTTTATGGTCTGGCTTGGCAATAATTCAGAAAAGGAAAACACCAAATGCAGAATAAATGACTTCACTTTATTTCTTTGAAGCACACAGTATTTCTTAGAAAGTATGTATATAAAAGCAATTTTATTTAAAGAGCAAAACAATTCATATATATGACCATGTTACATACAAAATATCAATATATATAATTTTAAAAGAAAACTAAAAATTGCAATAAAAATATCAGACTATTAAGTGCTGCCAAATTCTAAAATTAGAATTCCTAGTTAGAGGCTTATGAAGTTCTAATTTCTGAAAGCTGCTAAGCTGATTCTTAGTAGCATAAAGCAATTCTATTTCTAGCCAAATAGAGAAGTGTTCAGTTAACGTAGAGGCTGGGAAACACTTTACCTGTTTTAGGAGGGCACTTCGCTCTAATAATATTATTAGTATTCCCAGATTCCCAAGATTCACAGTGGTTTTTATTCCAAATACACTTTATCCCTGGACCAGCATTTTTACAAAGTTCTTCATCCCTGAAAGCTTTGCAATTTGGAGGCTTGTATACAAGGATATCATTAAGAAGTACACTAGAAAATCCTCCAAATATATACATGGACCTATTAAAAATAAGATAAGAGTCTTAAGGAAACACTATTAAGTTTCTCTGTAATAAAAAAATTAATGTATTTACATTATTTTAATATACATGTATTTCATGTACACACTTTACAATATTTCTAATGCACTATATAATATGAAAGCATGAGATAAGCTACTATAAGATAATCTAAATAAAATATTATCCAGAGAAAATATGAAATAGTCTACAAATGCAAAACCATTAAGAAAACATTGCCTTCAAAACATGTCTATTGCTAATGCAAGAAAGAAGAAACAATAATTAAACATTTCATTCCTTTGAGAGGCAAAACAAATGCCATTTTATAAAGGTTGAAAACAATCTTTTTAAATAGAATATATGTGGATAACAAGCTAAACTCAAGACTTCCAAATAGAAATTATAATTTCAATAATTACTTCTGAAATGAAGTTCTAATTTCCAAATAATAATATGCTGAATGCAAAACTAGTGTCTACAGTGTCCTACTATTCTCTTACAAAATAAAATACTAAACGGAAAATAATTTTTAAACTTTGAAGTTTTAATTTGAAAACAAAACTGATTTTTTAATTAATACTACCACAGCCAAAGAGTTTGCCAAGCCCTCACAACAGCAAGATTTTTATTTCTGTTTAAAGGCATTTTTCCTCAATTTTTACTGAGGCACAATGATTGACAATACTATTTATGATAGTTTCATTCCATAATGTGTTAGTAAATAGAAAAGATCAGAAAATGCTTGAGAAATATAGCTTATTTAAAAAAATAAATAAATAAAAATAAACCAGTATTGAACAAAAATGCCTAGTCTTCATGGTTCCAAGCTGAATTTAATTTATCATTATTCTGATATTGATATCTGTTATGCAGTTTTATTGCAGTTGATATGTACCTGCTGCTCGAACCAAACTGGAGGATTTTTACATTAGTACAATGTGGTGGTAATATGCTGAAATTATCAAACTGTCACTATGAATTACCAATTTTAAGGTAGTGAATAAACTAACATTTGCCTACTGTTACTTCTGTCCATATTGGCAAGTGTTTGCCAAGAAACTGGAAAAGCCAGACTACCATTTTAAAAAAGAAAAATAATGGTACCCAGTTCAGATAGGTATTCCCAATGAATATAGAGATATTAATGTCTAGAGAGGTAAGAGATTTTTCAAAATCGAACACTGAAGGAAACTGACAGAACCTACATCAGAATCTAACTCTTCTCACTTTCTCTTATCTGCTTGATCCATACATAGGGAGAGACTTCCTATCATTATATGACTTTTTTCTTTTTGAAGTAATCTACTCATTATCTGGCTTCAGTTGAATAAATGCAACATAACTTTTTAAAAGTCTAAAGTTTTAACCTTAGTCTTTTTTTCTTGGGACCATTCCCTGACTTTTAAATATGTTTGAAGAGGGGCCGGAGTGGGGAAGGTCCTTGCTCTGCATGTTGCCTACCCAGGTTCAATTCCCAGCATCCCCTACGGTCCCCTGCACACTTCCAGGAGAGATCCCTGAGCTGGGGGTAAGCCAGATCACTGCTGGGTGTGGCCCCAAAATGAAAAAAAAATAAAATGTTTAAAGCAAAAGAGAATAAAGGATATGATTATGAATTCCAATGAGTTCCTTGGCAGAACACGAAGAGATAATAGAAGTTCAATGTCATTAGTGCAAATATTAAGTTTTCAAAAAAAACAACCAAGTATGAAGGCCGTCTGACTGATAAATATATGTCTTTTACCCATTAATGACAACTGCAGAGTGTCCAAATCTGTTAACATCTCTATGAAGATTTGGTTTGGGTAATATTTTCCATTCATCACAAGCTAGAAAGAAGAAAATAGCAAAAGATTAAAATGAAAGAATATAGCATACTATGAAACAATCAAGGATCAAAAATACTTAATTTTCCTTGACCAAATATCATTACTCATCTAACATTGGTCCCTAGTTTAAAATAGCTTTCAGCCTAACGTGCCCACAAAAAATTTTAATTATCTATAGATCATTCTCATGGATATATGATAATACTCCATTATGCTTTAATTTTCATTTGCTTAATAATAAGTGAAGCTGAGTACTTCTTATGTGCCTTTTTGCCATCTGTTAGTATTCTATAAAGATGAGTCATTCAGGTCTTTTGCCCATTTTTTTCATTGGGTTGTTTGTTATTGTTTTTGAGTTGCATGCTTTTTATATGCGTTTTTTATAGAGACCCTCCCTCTTATGTATGGTGTACAAGTATTCCTTCCTAATTCTTTGATTTCCTTTTAGTTTTGTAGTAGCTATCCTTGCTATATAAAAGCTTTTAAACTTCAAAAAAATTAATTATCTAAAAATACTGGAAAAAAGTGTACTTTAAAATAAAGATAATTTCAATGACATATCACTGAAACAAAATTCATATAGCAAACATTATGAATGTCAATAATATGCAAAAGTATTAGAAAGTTAAATCGCTACATCAAATTTTAGATGCATGAATACAAAATTAAATGTAATTTATGCTATTCAATGAAATACATAAAAGTCATGAAAATAAAATCTACATTACTTCAGTGAAATTTCAAATAGTTTTAATTTTATGCAAAACAGATCAACTTTACTTGCAAGAGAAAAACTTTATAAATGAAAGAAAAATGAATTCACGAGCTATATAAAGAGCACGGAAAAAGAAATGGTTAAAGAAAATGCATATCCGTTTAATATCACTTAGAATTGACACGCTAACAGATTTCAGGTGTCAAATCATTCAGTATTCAATGGACAAGGTCATTTTCAAGACACTATTTCAAACTGGTGGAGGGAGAGTGCCAGGGAACAGCAAGGCCACACCCATCAATGGTTGGAGAGACACTCATGAACCCAGGAGAGGCTCAGGCACACAGGCACCTTAACTCCGGTACTATTTCCCACTCCCTAAATATCACCTTCTTAAGCATGCCGTATCTAAAGGAAGATATATGTTAAAATCACACCAGAACAAGTATTCTAAAGTCAATTGATTTTAGCTTTAGGGAGCTTAAAAGTTCTTCTCAGAAAAAAGTAATGATCTAAACTAGTTACTAGCAAAGATTATAATGATTACTTTCTGTTTAGGTAATTATGACAGCAGTGTCAGTCATAAAATAATAAACTTGGTTTTAATTAACTCTGCTCGTGAAAAATCATAGAAATATCACAGTTTATCAAATAAAACTGGAAGACTGAACAATAATGTATATCTTGAGCTGCATGCCCTAAAATATATTCCAAGGAAGTTGGAGAGATAGGACAGGTGATAAGGTCATTCCCCGGCGATCAGCTGACCCTGGCTTGAACCTCAGCACTGCAGATAGTGCTCTGACTCATATAGTGCCATCAGGGAGCACTCCTGAGCACGGAGCCAGGAATATCCCCTGAGCACCACCAGGGGCTAATACGAACAATACCAATACTGCAAGTGATTATAAGGAACACAAATCCCCCCACAAAACAACATCACCTAGTTGCAATCTCTCTTTATAATTCACAAAGTACATTGCCTATTAATTACTCTCAAAATAGTGTACAAAGGTATAGAAGCCAAACTTTATATAACCCAGAGTGTAAAAAAGCCAATGTTCTGAAGACCACATTCCAGGAAATAATTTTATCAAAGCCAATGCATAAGTCTGCCAATTTCACATGTTAAGAATTTGAGAAAGTTCATTTTATGTGCATATCTGAAATGAAAACACATTTCCAAAGTACTTTCATCTCCATAAAATGGTCTTCAGAAAAATCCAGTATTGATACTGGAGTAAGTCTCACCCTGTGTGAGGGGAGAAGAATGAGCCATTCAAGTAGAGTAATGAACTGAAGTCTACTGGATTATCTTTGTTTTTCTATGAAACCATGCTTATGAATAGTTGCTTCTAAAAATAGATTGAAAAGACTGAGCATTCCTATTTGGAGAGAAAGGATGACCTGTAGGGGACACAGGCTCTGAAAAAAAAAAGAGCTGGAAATATTGGAGCTAGCTAATAAGTTAAGGCACATAAATTTCAACTGTGACATCCAATATCCTTCCCCACAGACATAACCCATTTGGACACTCACTTAAAACTTGTGTATTGAGGTGCAAGGGAAATAGTAAAGGGATGAGGGGTGCACACAACAAGGATTTGAAGCCCAGCACCACGTGGTTAAGCATCACCAGTGTAGGTCTGGGGTGCCAGACCATAACTCGTATGGCCCAGTGAACCCCAGACATTTGCTGTGTACAACTTCACTCCTCAAGGAGCAATACTAGAGAGTCCAAAACCAGAAAAAAGAAATGTGTATTGACTGTCTATTCCAACAACAGAATTCAAACCATTCAAATGTAGTTTCAGGGAAACAAAGCTAGTAAGAATCAGGGGAAAGAACAGACTTTTAGCAACCAGTTTACTCTAACATTTTCCAGCACAACAAAATGCTCTTCTTGGTCACTCTGGGAAATCTGGAGTGTGGATAAGAAAAGTGACACCCACAATCTCACCCTACCTGGGATTAAAGAGGGAGAAATGCGGCCCAGCCTCCAAAACAGAGCAGGCAGAGGAGGAGAGAGCTTCAAGATGAGACATGCAGAAAATGCTGAGGAAAACCCAGCAAGCAGTGAGTCAGGAAAGAAAGCTCAGAGGACAAAGACCACCATATACTCAGAATCGAGCCTTTTGAAGATTCTTCTAACTCTACCTGCCTTCTGGGGAAAAGATAAAGTGTTTCAGCAGCACAGAATTATCTAAAGAATGGCATTACAAATAACCTCTGCACCACTACCCAGACAATTCAAACTCAGTACTACATTTGGCTTACTACATCTTAAATATGGAAAATATTTAGATACAAAGAGGATCCCTTGTGACATCTTAAAGATGGAAAATATTATAGACATTAAGAGGGTCGCATAATTAACTTTCTCTGTTTTCCTTCTTTGGACACAAACACTAATGCTTACTTTCAAATCAATGTCACTAGTTTTATATTGTTTCTGTATGTCATGAGAGTGATTAGTATAAGTGGGCATCAGACCATGTGAACCCTTCTGCAACTTGTTTATTTTATTCAGACCATTGAGTATTTCTCGCCACTTAAACCAATTACAGATACATTCACCACAACGTGCACCTATGACTGCACTCTATCCCTAGAGCTTTCTTCATCATGCAGAACTGAAACGCTGCACCCAACACAGTGACTGACAGCTGCCCTCTTTCCCCAGCCATGACAACCTATTCTTTTGTTTCTATAAAACTATTTTGAGGCGTACACAGAAATGAACTCATACTGTATCTGTTTTTCTTTAATTGGTATACTTCCCTCAGAAAGTCTTCAGAGTTCATCAATGTATTAATGATGAATACACATATTATATAATGCATATTACGTAGTAAAGTAAGTAAAAGTAAAGGTCCTCCCGTTGATCGTCGATTTGCTCGAGCAGGCCCAGTAACGTCTCCATTGGAGACTTTGTTGTTACTGTGTCTGGCATATCAAATACTCTCGGTAGCTTGCCGGGCTCTCCGAGAGGGGCGGAGGAATCGAACTCGGGTCGGCCATGTTGGCTGCGTGCAAGGCAGACGCCCTACCCGCTGTGCTATAATGCATGCATGTATTAGAATTTCCTCTTTTCTAATGTACTATGAAGAGAACATTAGTCTACTGTACTAAACAGATTTCAATATAAATAACAAACCCAACATATGTATGTACTATAATTCAAGTCAAATTCTATAAGAATCTCCTTCTTTTTAAGCTAGAATAATATAACGATAATTAAGCGATAGCACAGCGGGCAGGGCGTTCACCTTACAAGCGGCCAACATGGCCGACCCGAGTTCGATTCCTCCGCCCCTCTCGGAGAGCCCGGCAAGCTACCGAGAGTATTCGATATGCCAAACACAGTAACAACAAAGTCTCCAATGGAGACGTTACTGGGCCCGCTCGAGCAAATTAATAATATAATAATAATATATGCCACATTTCAGTTCATCTGTTCCTCCATCTATGGATACGATTGGTTGCCTCCACCTTTTGGCTACTGAGAAGATCGGTGCTTTAAACATGGGTGTATAAATATCTCTCTGTGGTCCTCTTCTCAGTTTTTCTGGAAATAACCCAGAAGTAGAACTGCTAGGTTACAGGCTAATTATTCTATTTTTAAAGGGTTTTTGTTGTTGTTTTGTTGTTGTTGTTGTTTGGGGGGGGGCAGAACATGCCCAGGGCTTACTCCTAGCTCTGTGCTCAGGAATCATTCTTGGCAAGGTTTCAGAGATCATTTGGGGTGCTAAGGATTCAACATAGGTCAGCACGTGCAAGGCATGCACCCTGCCCACTGAACTATCTCTCTGGTGCTCTCTGCTTAAATTTTTGAGGATCCTTCCTGTTCTTTTCCATAGCGACTGAATCATTTCACGGTCCCACAAGAAGGACACAATTTCAGTATCTCCATATCTTGTCTACACTTGATATTTTCTCTTTCCTGATAATAGCTATCTCATGGGTTTGAAACAGTTCTTATGGACTTGGGGGTTTGTAGTGGTTATTTTTGGTTTTTTTCCCCCTTCTCCCCTCCCCTTTTTTTTGAGTCACTTGTGCTCAGGGCTTATTCCTGGTTCTGTGCTCAGGAATGACTCCTACCAATGTTCAGGGGATCATACAGAGAGCCAGAGATCAAGCCCAGGTTAGCTGCATGCTAAGCCAGTGCCATATTTGATATTTCCATGATCCCTCATTATGGGTTTTTATTTGCATTTCCTTAATTATTAGTGATGTTAGGGAGACCCTAGTATATACTCTTTGGAGAAATATCATTCAACAAGCA